TACAAATTCTGACCTGCGATTTCTTGTTTGAACTTCTTGCGAGGTTTTACACGTTAAATTTGAAATTTGAAAATTCAAATTTCTTGACAAAAATCAATTTCCCTTTCATTATAGAAATGGTCTCGTGGAGCCAGTTTCCACCTGAAATAAAGCGAAAAATCGCTGAAAATTATGATTTCATGAGCAGGTAATTAAGTGATAATTAGTCCCCTAATTATCCCTAATTAAATTTAGAAACTCAATGAGAAATACATGCCATGTGGATCGCCAAATTGTGGATTCAACGAAATTTCGAATTCCACGTGTCAGATTTGGGTACAAACAAGACGAATGTTTGATTTGTATTTATACGGGGATCGAGAAGTTTTTGAGACTGGAAATTCTGAAATTTGAGAATGGAGTTGTCGTTTTCAAGTGAGCAATGAATCAATAAGAAATTTTCAATTTTCATAAAATTGGGTCGAAATGAGTATAAAAATGCCATATGTTGAAGAATTTTGATTTTTTTATGCTCTTGACGCATTTATGGCGCCTTGACGCGTTTTTCGTGTTTTGACGTATTCAAAGTGTATCGACGCATGTTTCGTTCCTTGACGCATTCTTAGTGTCCTAGCGCATTTTCCGTGCTTTAGCGCATTACTGGTGACTTGACGCAAAAACAGTTCTTCTTCAAAGCATGTCGTGTTTATACTCATTTTGAAGCTTCTGTCATGCTGAAGTTGAATTTTACACCGAAAAAATGTGAAATTTCCAGAAGTGAAAACTCGCACTACTTGACAGATTCCACTCGAAAATTCATTCCATTCGCTTTGTCATTGAATGAGGGATTGCTCATTCTTAAATCCCTACTGGCTCACAAATCAATTCAAATTTCAACAATGGAATGGGAGCTTGAAGATTGCAATATCGATAAACTTGGAAAACAGATGAAAAAACTTTTGGGGATATCAAAATTTAGTGTTAAAGAATTGGAATTGGCTATGGGTACGGATGAGATTCATTTGAGATATTTAGAAGAAATTTGCGATTGGAACAAAGTGGAAATAATTCGAAAATTCGGAATCATTTTGCATTCGAAAAGTATGAATTTGATCAGTGCTTACGATTATGGAATCGTTGATTTTGTTTCCGGAAAAGCAATGTGTGAGTTTTGAAATAGTTTTGGTAATTGGCAATTTTAATTGTTGAAATCAGCTCGCAGCGACGGTCGAAAGATTCTTAAATGTTATAAATTTTCTAAAAACAAGCTATCGAATTTTCAGATTTCACCCATTATTACACACATGACCCACGAGTTGACTTGGATGCTCTTGTGGACCAACTAAATAGACGTATAGAAGAAAATGGAGATGGTGAACTTTATTGGTTCACTCATCGTGAGCCAAGTGATAAGGATTGGTCATTTTCTGAAGACTATCGTTTCAAAGATGGTAATGTTACCCACTCAAAAAGGAGTCCATGTGGAATGTGGGTCAATCGGTGTCAGGAGAGTTTTGCAAAAGAGTTGAAAGCAATTCATGACGTGAGTTTCAAGAAAATGTGACTTTTAAGTTTGGAAGGTCTTAAGGAGCAAAATCAGTATAAACATGACAGGGTTTTGATAATTTAATGCTTTTTCATATATTCATGATATCCTCTGTATAAATGACCATAACCCAGTTCTTTCTGTTCCAACTTATGTGAAAATGATATTTTTGAATTCAAGAAGTCAAGACGCTTATTTTGAGTACAACCATGTCCCACTTTTTGAAGTTTTGAATTTTGCGCAGGTCTAGAGTGCAGAGAAATGAGACACACTGTGTCTCTGACCGGAATTCAAACTTATCCAAAATACGTCTTATTTATACTCATTTTGAAGATCTTGACGCGAAAAATTTGAAAATTTAAGTTTCGAAAACTTGGTGGAATGATAAAAGAGTTAGTTATTTTTCAAGACGATTCTAATTTCAGACTCAAAAATGTGGAATCGGAAGTCTTTGTCCAAAACACGCGGATCCTTTCGACTATTGGTACCATCAGAATTTGCCACGTCGTCTTATACAAGAACCATTTTGGAATGGATTCATTGAAAAGTGTTTTTTTCCAACTCTACCAATTGATTTGAACATTTTTTAACGAAAAATACAAAACGATGAAAATCGGAAAAGACAAAAATTGATGAAAAAAATGAATCGAATGAAATATTCGTGGGGATTCGGCAGAGATAAACAGAAGGCGTCGATGGAATTTGAAATTCCTGAATTCATGATGGTAAAACGTGAATCTCGTTGGAGTACTTGGCTCAAAATCATTTTTCTACCAATTTTGATTTCTTTCTTTTTCTATTCCATTTTTTATTGAAATAATAAACGTTTAACTTGAACAATTTTTATCCTTGACCTGTTCCCATTTACTTGGATATTCCCAGATCGAAACCGGTCGTTTCGAAACCAGTCGTTTCGAAACCGCGACACTTCGAAACCAGTCATTTCGAAACTGCGAAATTTTCACGCTGCAATTTTTTTCTTCAATTTTAAGACTGAAAATTTCGAATTTTTAATTTCATTTTCACGTGACCGTGTTTTTTTTCGGTTTCGTAATGACTGGTTTCGAAGTGACCGGTTTCGAAATGACTGGTTTCGAAGTGTCGCGGTTTCGAAGTGACGCGGAGCCAGAAAATCTGGTAAGTCATAATTTCATGTTTTCCCAACGTTATTTTTTTTCTATTAGGTTGCAGGAAAGTAACTGTCCCTTGTTTTATTTGTGAATAATACAAAAACCAGGTTAATCCAAGATTAGCAGTATGCACCGTCGTGATCCACGACATGTTGGCAATGTTCAGATAACTTGTGGATACGTGCTTGTCGTACTTTGTGTGCTTCTGGCGTTTTTCCCATTTTTTGGTGTAGTGCACTCTTAGCTCAAATATCTCGGTTCCTGTGAAAGGTATCAAAATTTGGTCAATTGATGAAATGTCGATGATATTATGCTTAACATTTTATTAGTTAACAGTTTTTTGGTATCTTTTATGGGACCCAAGATAATTAAGCTCAAAGCGGACGCGCCAATTTCGATTAGGCGCACTTCGCATTCATAAAAATTGTGTGAGTTCAACAAATATTAGGATGGCAGGAAAGTAACTGTCCCTTGTTTTATTTATGAATAATACAAAAACAGGATTAATCCAAGTTTAGCAGTATGCACCGTCGTGGTCCACGACATGTTGGCAATGTTCAGATAACTTGTGGGTACAATACCTTCAAAAGCCAGCTAGCCGCGAATCAACGTATTCATTTTTTCCTGTTTTTCACATAAATGGTGCAAATTTCCGTATTCTCTAGATGAAGTTGTATTTCTCCGAATATCCAATAATCTGATAGAGATCAGTCGGGACTATAAGTAGGTGAGGGAGAACGGTTCCACTGAAGCTGCTCAGGTCTGACTTGACTGCAGGTAAAAAAATGAAAAAACCAGGTTCACGGAAAGTCACGCCGTACCTGAGCCGCTTTGGATGGACGGTTATCCTTTATTCCCGTTAAAGACTTGATTCAGCTCTATCAGATCATTGGTTATTCAAAAGTATACGACGTCATCTGGAGCTTAAGGACTTTAACATTATCGATGAGAAAAAAAATGTGCTACAGTAATACTTTGATTCGCGCCCAGCCGGCTTTTGGAGGGATGGTATCCACGAGTTACCTAAATGTTGACAACATGTTGTGGATCACGACGGTAAATACTGTCAATCTTGGATTAATCTTGTTTTTGTTTTATTTACTAATTCAAAAATGGACAGTTACTTTCCTGCCAACCTAATATCTTCTGATAAATCAATTATAAAAGAAAAAAGGTTGCATTATTCAACAAAATGATTAGGATGGCAGGACAAAATGATTAGGATGGTCCACGACATGTTGGCAATGTTCAGATAACTTGTGGGTACAATACCTTCAAAAGCCAGCTAGCCGCGAATCAACGTATTCATTTTTTCCTGTTTTTCACATAAATGGTGCAAATTTTCGTATTCTCTAGATGAGGTTGTATCTCTCCGAATATCCAATAATCTGATAGAGATCAGTCGGGACTATAAGTAGGTGAGGGAGAACGGTCCCACTGAAGCGGCTCAGGTCTGACTTGACTGCAGGTAAAAAATGGAAAAAACTCATGTTCACGGAAAGTCACGCCGTACCTGAGCCGCTTTGGCTGGACGATTCTCCGTTACCCCCCTTAAAGATTTGATTCAGCTTTATCAGATCATTGGTTATTCAAAAGTATACGACGTCATCTGGAGCTTAAGGACTTTAACACAAAAATGGACTGGAGGGATACTTTGACTTGCCACTAGCTGGCTTTTGGAGGGATGGTACCCACGAGTTACCTGAACATTGCCAACATGTTGTGGATCTTGACGGTGCATATTGCTAATTCTGGAGTATTCTTGTGTTTGTGTTATTTACTAATAAAAACATGGACAGTTAATTTCCTGCCAACCTAATATAATCCAGTTCTAAAATACACGTTAACCGACTAATACATATACAATTTTTTTTTGAAAAATTCTGAAAAAAATTTATCTTGAACTTTTTTTTCATAACTTTTTAATTATTGGACCAAACTTTTTGTAATTTAAATTTTTGAATCTGCCACGGTAAGACCTTCAAAATGAGTATAAACAAGACGTATATTGTCCAAGTTTCAATTTCGGGGTCAGAGACGCAGTGTGTCTCGTTTCTCTGCACACTGACCGACGCGAAATACAAAATTCTTTAAAAGTGGGTCATGATTATACTCATTTTGATTGTCTTGACTTGCTGATTTTAGAAATATCATTTACATGAAATTCGGGTCAAAATGAACTGGGTTACGGTCATTTATAGTTTTCCCAAAATTTTCGTTTTTCAAATGTTTCGAAAATCAATTTATCCTGAAACTTTGAAATCTGAATTTTTGAAATCAGCATTAAAAAATGAGTACAAACACGGCCTACTTTGGAAAATCGGCCTGCCTGAAGTTTTTGGGCCGCGGACCGAATGGCTTGAAAGTAGGTCATGATTATACTCATTTAGACGGAAATTTTGCGCTTAATTCAAATTTTAAAGTTTCAAGAGTCTAAAATTGTTCGAAAAAATTGTTTCAAAACTACAAACATGAAATTTTTGTCTCAATGCTCTCTCCTTCGACGTTGGCATTTCATGACTCCATTTTCCACACTTCGACGAGTATTCCCAAATGACATCCGTTAGATCCCATGTTCTTTTTCGAGGTTCCGGATTTTGGATGGGGCTGAAAATTTTCAGAATTTTAGATGTCAAATTTTGAGAATTCTCTGAGAAAATTACGGTAATTTAAAGGTCAAATATGGTAGTTTCAGACGACTTTTTGATTATTTCAAAGTGAAAATTGATAAATTTCGAAAATCAACATTTTAAAATTTTTCTCACATTTCACTGATATCTCGAAAAGTTCCAGAATCAATTGCATGATAATTAACACCATTTATTACGTGAATCAGCTCATAATCCCATCGTCTGCGAGTCCGAAACTCTTCATCGGCTACGGTACAGAGATGGGTGTGGTCTGAAATGTTTTTCGAAAATAATTTGAATTTTTGAATTAGGACCCAAAACGCGTGAAAGCACAAAAAACACGATAGGGCTGAAAATGCGTCAAGGCACAAAAAATGCGTCAAGACTCCGAAAACGCGGCAAGGCACAAAAACCGTATCGAGGCACCAAGAATGCATCAATGCACTGAAAATGCGGCAAGGCACCAAACTTGCGTCAAGACACAAAAAATGTGTCAGGGCACCGAAAATGCGTCAAAACACGTAACATGCGTCAAGGGCACTAAAAATGCGTCAAGGCGTGAAAAACACACCAGAGCCGAAAAAATCGGCAATGCGCCAAAAATACGTCAAGGCACCGAAAATGCGTCAAGGTACCAAAAACGCGTCAAGCAGGTCATGTTTATACTCATTCTGACCGTCTTGACGAGCTGAACTCGAATTTTTACCAATTTTCAGCTTTCGAAAACCCCATAAAATCTTACAATTCGATTTTCCACAAAATGGAACATCCATATCATACGCAATCACTGGATACAAGTTATCAATCCTCGTATGAACGAAAATATCTCTCATACATTCCAGCTCGTTGAAATGCGAAAAATCGATAAAAAACCGATTGAAAAATTTATATGTTTCCTCGGATCTCGGAGTTGACACCATTTCCTTGACATGAAATTTTTGGAATCCAAAAATTTTTTGAGAAACTTTCAGATAATTTTCAGGATTTTTTGAGTCTTCCAATAAGAAATCATCTAAATCCCATTCGATTGCATTGATTTCGATTGAATCGTGAAGGAGATTTTTGAGAATTGAGAGTCCAAAGTTCAAAAGATTTTCAGATGAAATGAATTTTCGTGGAATCCGGGAAGTGTCGAAACTGTTTTCGGATCTGAAAATGATCGAAATTTTGTTTGAAAAGTGTTATAGTGCATTTTCAGCGTGATACAAGCTTCAAGATGAGTATAAACATGGAACATTTATAGAAGTCGATATTTCCAAAAGTTCCCATAACTTTTTTATTTTTACACCAAACTTTTCGAAATTTAAAATTTTGAATTTGCCACGTTGAGACCTTTAAAATGAGTATAAACATGGCGTATATTTGATAAGTTTCAATTTCGGGGTCAGAGACGCAGTGTGCCTCGTTTCTCTGCACTCTAGCCCTGCGCGAAATTCAAATTTCTCAGAAATAGGTCATGATTATACTCATTTTGAAGGTTTTGACTTGCTGAATGCAAAAATATTATTTTCATGATATTTGCGACGAAAATAACTGGGTTACGGTCATTTATACGGTACCAATCAAACTTCAGCAAAGCTAGTCATGTTTATACTTATTTTGACCCAATTTTTATAAAAATTTCAAATTTCATATTTATTTTTAGCTCACTTATGAAGGACAACTCCATTTCCACATTTTTGAATTTCCAATCTCAGAAACTTCTCGATTCCCGTATAAATACAAATCAAACATTTGTCTTGTTTGTACCCAAATCTGACACGTGGAATTCGAAATTTCGTTGAATCCACAATTTGACGATCCACATGGCATGCATTTCTCATTGAAATCCTAGATTTAATTAGGGTAATTAGGGGACTAATTATCACTTAATTACCTGCTCATGAAATCATAATTTTCAGCGATTTTTCGCTTTATTTCAGGTGGAAACTGGCTCCACGAAACCATTTTTTGATAGAGCGTTTTTTGGGATTTAAGATTTAGGGCGCGAAAGTAATGAATTTGAAAAAAAGAAAAATCATAATTTTTAATTTCAAAACTTTTCAACGTGGCAGGAAGTTATCTTTGACCTTTGAATTTATGATGATTTTCTGGGTTTTTCACGTTTTTGAACCACTTTCCAGATTTTTAAACTCTCTTCAATCTCAAAATTCTTGTCTAAGAAAGGTCAAATTCCACAAAAAAAATCTAGGGAATTTTCGAAAAATTGTCTGAAACTTTTCTCTGGAAAGATTTGAACTTTTGAAAATAAAAAATTCAGATTCACCATAAAATTCCCGTCAAAATGAGTATAATCATGACCTACTTTTGAGCCGGTCGGCCCGCAGCGGCCTAGACCGTGCAGGCCGGCTCATTTTCAAAGTAGGTCGTGTTTATACTCATTTTGACGGGAGTTTTTTGCTGATGTCGAAAATTCAAGTTCCATCGTTCTAGCATAAACATTTGGAATGAAAAATTTCGAAATCCCGAAATTTTCAAAAAAAAAATGTTTTTGAAAATTTGCCATGTTTATACTCATTTTGAAGCTCTCAACAAGCCGAACTTTAATTTCACTATTTCAAAAAAAACAACTGAAATTTCAGACAAAATTCCAGATCTGGAAGTGTTTTTTTGTTCGGTTCTCTGATTTCCAAAAAAATATAACATAATAAAAAACATTTTTCGTATCAGACTGTTTTCCATAAAGAAATTTCTAGGTACGAAATTCCCAGGAGAAATATAAGAAAATTGTTTTTAAGCTACTAATTTCCTTGTTTCAGTTATGACTATACGAAATAAAATTTATTCCGAAAAATTTTTTTTTTGGCTGAAAATGGATATTTTCTCAAAATCCCTCCCTTTGTACACTGCTCCGATTTCAGTACTGGCCAATTTTTTATTGATAAATTTGATAATTTTCAAGTCTCCCGCGCAAATGGGAAATTACAAGTATTTATTGATTGGCGTTTCGCTTTTTGAGATTTTCTACGGAATTTTGGATTTTTTGGCTGAAACGGTTAGTTTTATGCAGTTGAAACTTGAATTTTCGAACTCGGCGTAAAATTTCCGTCGAAATGAGGATAATCATGACCTACTTTGTAAAAATGGGCCGGCCTGAGAAATCTGGGCCGCTGCCAGGCCGCCGCGGGCCGACCGGCTTAAAAGTAGGTCATGATTATACTTATTTTTACGGAAATTTCTTGCTAAATCGGAATTTTCAAGTTTCAAAAATCTAGAACTGATAATTAAAAAGTTACAGAGAGTTTTATCAGTTGGGCCGAGTTTTGTGGTGGTCATTCCATATAAGGACCGATTTTTCGATAAAAAATGGGCCGAATTTTTGAATTGTCTGTATTGTGGATTTTTCGGATTCTCCATGGGCATGTTTGTTATCATTTTTGCTTATCGATTATTTGTGGCTACCGAAAATCAGATTTTACAAAAGTTCAAAGGGCCAAAAATCATTTTTTGGTTTTTATACCCATTTTTGCATTTGGCACTTTTCTATATTGATGCGTGGCTACCGTACTCTCCATTCCCTGAAATGGACGAGTTTGTGGGGTGAGGAGCAATGACTACAAACTACAAGTAATAATTTTTAGGCCTGACATCTTGAAAAGTCTTAACCTATCTCTCGATGACGTGGCATATACAGGACCACTTTTTTATTCAAAAATCACAAATTCCGTGAGAATTCCAACGATGGTAGTTTCAATGCTACAATATCTGTTTACGGTAGATTGACGCGTTTTTGGTGTTCAGAGCGCTAGAAATGCGCGAGGCACGAGAGATGCGCCAATACACTAGAAATGCGTCAAGGCACCGAAAAAGCGTCAAGACGCTGAAAATGCGCCAAGGCACCGAAAATGCGCCAAGGCACGAGAAATGTCCAAAGAAGCGAAAAATGCGTCAAGGCGTTGTTTTTACGGCAAAGACTTTTTAACACATATCTGGTGATTTGACGCATTTTTAGTGCATTGGCGCATTTCTCGTGAATTGACACATTTTCATTTCCTTGACGCAGTTCAAGTACCTTGACGCATTTCTAGTGCCTTGGCGCATTTTTAGTGCTTTGACGCAATTCTAGTACCTTGGCACATTTTTTGTGCCTTGATGCATTTTTCAGGCCTCCTCTCTCTGTTTGGTAATATATTTCGGGTTTCGATGCTACTTTGAAATCATGAAACTTGTCCAAATCCCAAATACCGTATCCTTGAAAATCAAAAATCTTCAGAAGCAGTTATTTTTTGCCCTGGTTTTTCAGGTAGGTTTTTATTAATTTTTTGGGTTTTTTTTTCAAAAAAATTACAGGCCATGGTCCCAATAATCCTCATGCATATACCAGTCACCATTCTCTACACTTGCTCATTATTGGATATCATTTTTCGACTTCCCGTTGAATCTACAATTGCTCTATTCCCAGCGCTGGACCCATTTCCAACCATTTTTATTGTCAAAAGTTATCGAAATACTATCCTGGGTACGGTAACCTGTAAAAAAATTGAAAAAAAAACTTGATTCAGGATTCTTCAATTTCCTCTTCTGCTGTCGCCAATCCAAGCCTTGAGAGACCTCATTGGCTCTGACAACACAATAATTGTTTCATAAAAATCACCCGAAACCCTAAATAACCCATTATAAAGAAGAAAAAAAAAGAGAACAAAAATTTCGCTCCCGGGTGGGCTCGAACCACCAACCTTTCGGTTAACAGCCGAACGCGCTGCCTATTGCGCCACGGAAGCAGGCGAGGCAAAGGGGGCCGAAATGCGTACAGGAAGGAGGGGGAAACAGAGAGATACGGATGGGGAGGAGAGAGGTGACTCTTTAAAAAATGTCTAATGAGAATTTGACATTGTTAGTTTTTTTTTAATTCTTAAAGGAAATTTCATCAAAAAATTTTTATCTGTACTATTCCACAATTTTTGGGAATGTTTTAAAGACCCCCAAACACAAGAAATGCGTCAAAGGCACCTGAAATGCCTCATGGCACCAGAATAGCGTCAAGGCACCGAAAATGCACCAAGACCCTAAAAATGGGCCAACGCACCCAAAATGCGCCAATACACTGAAAACTCAAAATGCGCAAGGACACGAGAAACGCGCCAAGACACTAATAATGCGTCATGGCACCGCAGTTGCGTCAAGGCACTAAAATTGCGCCAGGACCCAAAACTGCACTAGAAATGCTTCAAGGCTCCGAAACATCGCTAAAGTACTAGAAAGGGACCACAGCACTCAAAAAGCGTTGAGGCACAGAAATTGCGCCAAAGCACTGGAAATGCGTCAATACACTTGAGATGCGTCAAGGAACAGAAATGCATCAAGACACTGAAAATGCGTCAAGGAAGCTTCTGGTGTATTAACGCATTTCTAGTGTCTCGACGCATTTCTGGTGCCTTGACGCATTGCTCGATGTCTTTAATCTAAAATCAACAAAAAAGGGAATGACATCAAAAAATTCTTATCAATTCTAATCAGTTTGGCATTAAATTTTTTTGGGAACATTTTTGAAACTTTTCACAATTTTTCGAATCAAAACTTTCTTTTATTCCGAAAATATTAATTTTTCAGAAATGACAACACCACCAAACTTAGAAGATATGCCTGATGTTGTGCTGAGCAATATATTCGAAAAAACTGGAATTTCTGGAATGTAAGTTTTTTTTTCTAAAAATTAAAAATTATAATTTTTTTAAGATTAAAATTCCGAAAAGTGTCGAAGAAGTTTGGAGAATTTCTCGAAGTTTTTCCAATGAATTCTGGAATTATTCAAATGAATTTCAGTATTTTTAGAGATATGATTGTTTTGAAATTTTTCGAAAAGGATGCTGAAAATCTGGAAAGGACTGGAATTCAATATTCGAAAAATGGTGAAAAGAATTGTGAAATTTGCTATGGAAATTTTTCAAAAATTCTAGAAGATTCCGAATATTCCAATCGATTTTTTGAAGATTTACAAATCATTTTAACCTATCAAAAATCGATAATCAATATTCTCCAATTCGTGTGTCCAGTGCCATTTTTCATTTCAAATTATGAAGAATTTGTGAGGAAATTTCAGAAAATTCTGGAAATTTTCAAGCTAAAAGTGAAGATTTTCCATATGCAACATTCGAATTTTGAGGATATTTTTGGGATTTTAAAAAACCTGGATTCCAAAGAAATTGAAGAAATTTCGATTTTCTCAATGACCGCTGAGCAATCAAATAATAAAGAAATCGATAATTGGGTGAAATTGGATCAATGGAAAAAAAAAAAACGACAATGGAAAAAAAAAAAAACGACTCAAAATTCGAAATGTCTGTTGGATCAATCGATTATCGATTTTTGGCATTTTGAGGAAATTCAGATTGAATTGAAGGCAATTTCAGCTAATGAAATGATTTTGGTGGCTCAGGTAAGAAATTCAAAAATTCAGAAATTCAAAAATTCAGAAATTCAAAAATTCAGAAATTCAGAAATTCTGAAATTCTGAACTTCAGAAAATCAGAAATTCCGAAATTCGGAAGTTCAGAAATTCAGAAATTTGAAATTTCAGAAATCCAGAATTTCAGAAGTTTAGGAATTCAGAAATTCAGAAATTCAGAAATTCAGAAAATCAGAAATTCAGAAATTCAGAAATTCAGAAATTCAGAAATTCAGAAATTCAGAAATTCAGAAATTCAGAAATTCAGAAATTCAGAAATTCAGAAATTCAGAAATTCAGAAATTCAGAAATTCAGAAATTCAGAAATTCAGAAATTCAGAAATTCAGAAATTCAGAAATTCAGAAATTCAGAAATTCAGAAATTCAGAAATTCAGAAATTCAGAAATTCAGAAATTCAGAAATTCAGAAGTTCTGGAATTCAAAAATTCAAAAATCAAAAATTTCAAAATTCAGAAATTCGAAAATTCTGAAATTCTGAACTTCAGAAAATCAGAAATTCCAAAATTCGGAAGTTCAGAAATTGAGAAATTCAAAATTTCAGAATTCCA